CTGGTCCACCAAACTGAAAGTAGCCTGTGACTGTGATGAGGACGTGGAGATGCAGCAGATATATCCAGACAGCCACTTGAAAGAAATGTCAATCACTCACACACCTGCTACCAACCCTAGGACGGATCATGAGTGGAATGAATGTGGAAGAAGTTTAAGCTGAAGACCAGTCCTTGTTACGCAACATGCTGTCCCCCCAGGAGAAGTACCCTTTAAATGTGATATAGAACTCACACAGACTTTGGGGAGAAATACCTCTCAGAGAAGCCATCCAGGCAAGAAAGTTTGTGAATGTGATGAATGTGGAAAGTGCTTCCATGTCCAGTGAGAACTGAGGCGCCATCAGCGATGTCACACTGGAGGAAAGCCTTATGAATGCAGACTGTGGACGAGCCTTTGGTCATCCTTCATCCCTTATCAAGCATCAGAGAACTCATACTGGAGAGAAGTTACGAACACAGTGAATGTGCAAGAGCCTTCAGCTGGAGTTCATCTCTTGTTCTACATTACAGAATTCATTCTGGAGAGAAACCCTACAAATGCAATGAGTGTGGATGAGCCTTTGGTCATACGTCATCCCTTATTAAACTTCAGAGAACTCATATTGGAGAAAAGCCTTATGAATGGCAGGAATGTGGGAGAACCTTCAGCCAGAGTTCATCTCTCATTGTACATTCTAGATTTCATACTGGTGAGAAACTTTACAAATGCAATGAATGTGGGAGGGCCTTTACTCACTCTACATCTCTTATTAAACACCAGAAGAGCTGTGCTGGGGAAAAAAAACCCTAAGAATCCAGTGAATGTAACAAGGCTTTCAGCAGGAGTACACATGTCACCAGATCCAGGAGAATTCACAGTGGAGAGATCCTACAAGTGCAGTGCATGTGGGAAGACGCCTGTCATTTGCATCAGACAAGGACATACTAAAGAGAGGCCCTGTAATGTCAAGAGAGATAGTGGATATTCATTCATACTCCATCTCTTAGCAAACACTGGAGAATTCATACTTGTGAGCAACCATGTGAATGTGACAAATGTGGAGAGGCTTCAGTGAGAAGACATAGGTTAATCAGCATCAGCATATACTAGGGAGAAGCTTATCAGCCTGATGAATTTGGAACAGCCTCCAGTCATTTGCTGTTCCATTTAAAAAAATCAGGTAACTCCTGGAGGGAAATGCTACAAGTGTGGCAAGTATGGCAAAACCAGTTATAGCAAAAATCCTGTTTGTAGTGAGTGTGGGAGAGCCCTCAGCCAAATCTCATCCCTTTGTCCAGCTCAGAGAACTCTTCCTACTATTTAGAAACCCTGGGGTGGGGGTGGGGGTGGGGGTGGGGGTGGCGCACTAGGATAATCCACCGCCTGTGGCAGGGGCATCTCATATGGTCACCGGGTTCTAGTCCCAGTTGCTTCTCTTCCAGTCCAGCTCTGCTGTGGCCTGGGAAGGCGATGGAGGAGCCTAAGTGCTTGGGCCCCTGTGCTGTCATGGGAGGCCAGGAAGAAGCACCTGGCTCCTGGCCTCAGATTGTCATAGCTCCAGCCATTGTGGCCATTTGGGGGGTGAACCAATGGAAGGAAGACCTTTCTCTCTGTCTTTCTCACTGTCTGTACCTCTACCTGTCAAATAAATAAATCAAAATCTTAAAAGAAAAAAAGAAAGAAAGGATATCCTGGGAATGTAGTGCTTGTGGAAAAGCCTATGGTTGACGTTCCACCCTTTTGCACATGAGAGAATTTATAATAGAATTGAGTCTTTGGCCGGTGCCGCGGCTCACTAGGCTAATCCTCTGCCTAGCGGCGCTGGCACACCGGGTTCTAGTCCCGGTCAGGGTGCCGGATTCTGTCCCGGTTGCCCCTCTTCCAGGCCAGCTCTCTGCTGTGGCCCAGGAGTGCAGTGGAGGATGGCCCAAGTGCTTGGGCCCTGCACCCCATGGGAGACCAGGAGAAGTACCTGGCTCTTGCCATCGGATCAGCGCGGTGCGCCGGCAGCAGCGCGCCGGCCGCAATGGCCATTGGAGGGTGAACCAACGGCAAAGGAAGACCTTTCTCTCTGTCTCTCTCTCTCACTGTCCACTCTGCCTGTCAAAAAAAATTAAAAAAAAAAATAGAATTGAGTCTTTGAATGTAAGGAGTACAGGTCAAGCCTCAGCATTGAGTAGTCACCTAAGGGAAACCCTGGGAGCTTAATGTATGTAAGGAAAGTCCCTTTCAGACTTGAGATTCATAAAACTAGGGCTGGAAGGAGGCTGAGAAATCACTTTGTCCTGTGATCTACCTAGTGGAGGCCATTTTTTATAATTGCACTTGTGCCTTGTGTCCCCTCCTGCTATAATAGGGTGGGATATCACCAGTGGGTGAGGAGATAGACTGTAAGATAGGTGGAGGGGCACCAGTGATCTAGCCCATCCACAGTTTAAGTCCAACAAAGTGCCACGCTCTGGCCTGTGTATACACCTGCCAGGGCCAGGCCTCCTTCCTCTGGTTCACAGCTGTGGTTTGGGGAGTGAGACCCTGAAGGCCTTCCCTGTACACCTGTACCCCCATGCACTCGTTCCTCTGTGACACAGGCTGCATTTCTCTACGATGCAATAAGTGGTCTCCACTTGAGCAAAAACTAAGTTTCAGAGCCTCTTCATGCTACTGGATTTGGAAATTTTGAAATGAGGACTTCAAAAACATAAAAACCACTAAGATAAGGGTATTATTTAAAAATATTATTCTAAGTAAAAGGAGGCAGTTGCCAGATACCACATATTGTATGATTTCATTTATTAGAAAATTCTAGAAAAGGAAAATCTTCAGAGAGAAAGTAGATTCGTGGTGGTGCAAGTGGGAGTGACCATAGATGTTAGGAGTCGTCTTACTGGGGTGATGGAAATGTCGTGAAACTGGATTATAGTGATAACCGAACAAACTGGTAAGCTCATTAAGATGATTGAGTTGTACCCTTACAATGAGTGAATTTGGTGATATGTAAATTCCACCTCAATAAAATAATTTTTGAAAATAAACTACAAAGATACACCAACTATTGCAAAACTGATTTTTCTATCTTGTTACTTAAGCCACCCATGCAGCTTTGCTACTACTTTTTTTTTTTTTGAAGATTTATTTTATTTATTTGAAAGACAGAGTTACAGAAGAGAGGTAGAGACAGAGAGAGGTCTTCCATCTGCTGGTTCACTCCCAGATGGCCGTAACGGCTGGAGCTGTGCTGATCCGAAGCCAAGAGCCAGGAGCTTCTTCCAGGTCTCCCACGTGGGTGCAGGGGCCCAAGGACCTGGGCCATCTTCTACTGCTTTCCCAGAGAGCTGGATCGGAAGAGGAGCAGCTGGGACTAGAACTGGCACCCATATGGGATGCTGGCGCTTCAGGCCAGGGCTTTAACCTGCTGTGCCACAGCGCTGGCCATGCAATTACTTTTTATTTTCTGCAATTTACTAAATTTACAGGGTCTCATAACCTTGTAAGGCTATTCTTTCAAGTTCATGCCATGTTGCTTCTGCAGCTTAGGTGGAGAAGCCAAAATCAGTAGCTGGTAGGGGACCACAGGAGTCCTGCCTGATGACAATGAGCTTGTCTTAGGATAGTGCTTTTAATGTCCACAAGAGCCCGGAGCCCAGAATGAGGAATCAGCTCGGAGTGGGTGCACGCAGACTGTCCCAGGCAGCTGGACAGCTGAGGTCAGCATGCCGATCCTGCGCCTGAAAGTCACACAAGGATTTCTTTCTGGATAGCCAAGGTTCAGAAGCAGGAACAGCAAGGGTTTTACAATACTCACAGCTCCTTTGCTCCACTTCTCCTTTTCTGCCCAGGGCCCCTCTCCAGCACCTACTCAAGTCACCATGCCTGCACGCTTACAATTCTGTCGCTGCTTTTTGTCCCATATCTGCCCCTTCGTCAGGTGGATCTCTGTTGAGTTAACCATCCTTATCCTCCTCTCCCCCAAACCCTTTGCTAGGAGACAGTCCCCCACGCTTCAGCTTGTCATCTGGGGCCTTCCTCCGTCTGCCCAAGCTCTGTTGCTCCCGACAGGAGCCTCCATTGCAAACAGACTGGCTCCGCTCCCATCCCTCCCACATGCCTCCAGCCTTCCCAGCCTGCACACCCTTCCCCAGGCTGTCCCATCAGCCGAGACTGCATTCCCCACTTACAGCTAATAGGAACTGTGTGCCAATGCCCCTCTTATTTCCAATCATAAGATCACTTGTGTAGGTAACTTTTGCAAGGATGTGTATCTAGACTTGGGCTAACTCTTCCCTGTCTTGATCTGTTTACATACTTTTTCACTGATCATCTTACACGCTCTTGTTTCCTGAACCAGACCACCCACTACTTCAGTTCACAGCTCACATTTAGAAATGTGTACAGAATAGGTGCTCATTAACCATGTGGTAACTAGAAAAGTAATTTGTGTTGCCCAGGGCCGTCCCTAGTCGGACTGGCTGACTCCAACTTCAACCGCCTGCTAATGCACACCCTGGGATGATGGCTCAGGTACCCGGGTCCCTGCCACCCACGTGGGAGACCTAGAGACTGTGTTCCTGGCTCCTGTCTGCCCAGCCCAGGCCCTGCGAGTGCAGACATTTGGGGAATGAACAAGTAGATGGCACCCCTCTCTGTCTCAAGTTAGTAATAATAAAACAAAGTAAGCATGACCCAGAGCCGCGCTATGCTCGTGTGACCGAATATCGGAATCAGAATTGACTCCACACACGCGTGTGGAATCCAGCGTAATCTCAGCGTTTCATCTGACAAACTTCAGACTCAACACCTCTCTGTGCTAGTCCGTGCAGCCTCCCCCAACGCCCATCTTAACACTTTCCAGGACCGCGGTGGGCGGATCCGGCTGACCCCGCCCCTCCGGGCGAGACAGACGGGAGCTGGCCCCGCCTACGCCCAGCCAGCCCCAGCCCCGCCCTCGGGTCCTAACGCGAGGACCCCCCTCGGGCTGTCCGCGGCGCGCCGGTCTCGGGCAACGTCGTGGCTAATCAGGACAGTCCTCCTCCAACCCCTGTTTGCGCTGAGGCTTGGCTCTCGGGTCGCAGTAATTCAGCCGCGGGCCGAGCCTCGCCGTTTGTCGAGGAGCAGTCGCGATAGGCGGTGAGGAAGGCTGCCCCGAGCGGCGGCAGAGGCTCCAGTCCGGCTCCAGCATGGCGGCGGCGGTGCTAGCCGCGCGCTGCGTCCCTGGACTGTGTGGGGTGCAGGCGGGTGAGCGCCGGGAGGCCGGGGACGGGGTTTCGGAGGGGGGCGGTTGCAGGGGGCTCCGGTTCCTGGGAAGGGGAGGGAAGCGAGAGAGCCCCCAGCTCCTCAGACCGGGCTGCCATCCCGCCGAGCCCGCTGTGTGACCTTGCGCGCATCCTCTCCCTCTCTGGGCTACGCGGCCCTTGCCTGTAAAATGAAGGTAAAGTGGACACCCTTCACCAGGTTTCCTTTGTGCGTGCTCGGCGCAGGGGAGTGGGAACTGGCGGGCGTCGCCTTCCCGGCGACCGCGACCCACAGGTTTCTTTGCTGATGTCGACGTGGGGTTCTAGGCAGGGGCCCGCCAGCGAGGCTGCAGGAACACAGACGCCCGCCCTCCGGCTGGAGTCGGGTGGGAAGAGTGTCGGTTTCCGATGGTAACGGACGGCATGGTTGGAACATCAGCACCTTTGGCTGTCACCCTCCTGCTCGCCACGCAGGGGGCAGGGGGCGTGCAGCCCGGGGAAGGGCAGTCTGCGTAACTGACCTCCAGGACCCGCTTCGTGATCATCCGTGCCTTCCCTGTTCCATTTTACCCTAGGCCCACGATCCGGCTTTCTGGAGTTCTGGAATCCAAAGACCTCCCCCTCCTCTCCGAAAACCAGAAAGTCCCTTTCTGTAACTCACTTGCGGCGGCATTGGACAGTGTTCAGCTGTGTTTTTTGTTTTGTTTTGTTTTGTTTTTCTTTCAGAGTTATTTATTTATTTGAAAGGCAGAGTAACACAGAGAGAGATGGAAATGTAGAGACAGAGAGAGGTCTTCCATCCGCTGGTTCACTGCCCAATCGGCCACAATGGCCGGAGGTGCGCCGATCCGGAGCCAGGAGCCAGGATTTTCTTCCGATCTCCCACGCTGGTGCAGGGGCCCAAGGGCTTGGGACATCTTCCACTGCTTTCCCAGGCCATAGCAGAGAGCTGGATGGGAAGAGGAGAAGCCGGGATTCGAACCAGCGTTCACATGGGATGCCGGCCCTGCAGGCTATGGCTTTACTGCTACGCCACAGCAGCGGCCCCTTGGCTCAGGTTTTTTAGAGTATATTCACAGAGCTGTGCAGTCGGTGGCCCAAGTGCAGAACATTTTCATCCCCCCCCACCCCACAAGGAAAATGTGTACCTCGTGCATCACCTGGCGGCCCCCCGACTGTTTATACGTAGCTCTCTGGTTGTTCTAGACATCTTATGTAAATGAAGTCTTGTAACATTCGTTCTTCAGTGGCGGACTTCCCTGTTTCCAAGTTTCATCTGTGCCCGGGTAGCGTGTGTTAGTACTTAGTTCCTTTCCAGGATCAAGTGACTCTGTCCGTAGGAACATACCACCTTCGTTTATCCATTCATCGGCACTTGAGCACCCGGGTTGTGTCCACCTACTGGCGATCGTGCCTACTATTGCTGTCAGCATCTGTGTGCCATGCCTTGTTGCGTGCGTATGTTTTCTCGTGTAGATTCCTAGGAGTGGAATTGTTGGGTCAAATTGTAACTCCGTGTTTACCTTCTTGAGGTACCACGAGGCTGTTTTCCCGAGTGCCAGACATGCCCCCAACAGCGTCTGGGGGCTCCGATTTCTTTACCAACACTTGTTTTCTGTGCTTTTGAGTATAGCCGTCCTGGTGGATACGGAGGATCAGTATGCCGTTTGATTTGCATTTTTCTGGTGGAAAAGGAGCAGATTTTCACGTGTTTATTGGTCCCTTGTGTATGTGTGGAGAAATGTCTACTCAAATTTTTACCCATTTTAGAATGCGTTGTGAAACTGTAACAGTTCTGGCCGGCGCCGCGGCTCACTAGGCTAATCCACCTAGTGGCACCGGCACACCGGGTTCTAGTCCCAGTCGGGGTGCCGGATTCTGTCCCGGTTGCCCCTCTTCCATGCCAGCTCTCTGCTGTGGCCAGGGAGTGCAGTGGAGGATGGCCCAAGTGCTTGGGCCCTGCACCCCATGGGAGACCAGGATAAGTACCTGGCTCCTGCCATCGGATCAGCGCAGCGGCCATTGGAGGGTGAACCAACGGCAAAAGGAAGACCTTTCTCTCTGTCTCTCTCTCTCTCACTGTCCACTCTGCCTGTCAAAAAATAAAAAATAAAAATAAAAATAAAAAAAGAAACTGTAACAGTTCTTTGTATTTTCTAGATCGGTTTCCTTATCAGATACATGATTTGCAAACTTTCTGTCTCAGAGGGAGAAAGGAGTATTGCAGGATCAGGAAGCTGTCCCCAGGAGGTGACAGTTCACACAAGAGCCTGGCAGAGACGCAAAAGTGCCAAGAGCAGAGTGGGTTTGAGACTACACTTCCGGCCTGGCTTGTAGAGAGAGTGGTGAGGAGAGACATGAGACAGGAGGCTGGTGTGGGTGCTTGGGGCTGTGTAGCCATTGCAGGTTGCGCCAACGAGGGTTGACTTTGTTCAGCAGCCAGTAGGGAGCCCAAGAGTGATCTATCAGAGCTTGAAGTGACCAAGCTGTTGTTACAGGAAGGTGGCAGGTTAGAGGGGGAGAGCTGGAAAGCAGGTGGAAGACCTGTTAGGAGGCTGATGCCACCGTGCGGCTGAGAGGGGAGGCCTGTGCCCTGCGCGGGGAGCATGCAGGCCATAAGCCAGGGTGAGCTGCCGGGTGGGCCGGTGTTTGAGGAGGCGCTGTAGGCCTTGGTAATGGTTGGATGTGGGGGTGAAGGGGGAGGATGAGGTGTGATGCCGGGTACTTGGCCAGTAGTCGTGGCGCCCAGAAGTCACTTACTCACTTGGGAGGCTTCCTGTATTCTGTCCTTACTAATCTTGTGGGTTACAGTTTAAAAGCTTTCTTTTTCCTCTTGTGGAAATGTATCTTTAAAATGTTTTCCTTTCAATTTACAGGTCTTCTGTGGTCCAGGCAGCTTTCCCTAAACACCTTTCCAGCAGCTTCTGTTTTGGCGTGGAAGACTGCTCTCAGCAATGGTGAGGCTCATTTATCCAACTGCCTTTTCTCGTAAGATCCTGGGTGAGCGTGGTTTCCGTAGTTTTTAAACATGTAGGTGAATGAAGCACATTGCTTGTAATGGAGGGGCCTGGAGTCCCGAGTGTTTTTCAGGCATTTTGTGATCAGTTGTTAGAGTTCCAGGCTCTCGCCGCTGCAGCAGTCCCGTCTGTGAGGTGGAAAGCACACTGTCCTGGTCGGTCCTCACGGCTGTTTATCCGAGGGAGTCTCTTCCTGCGTGGGGGAAGCGCATCTTCAGTGACTTGGTCAGGATCACACGGGATGGGACCTGAGCTGGTGGTAGCTGCACGTCCCACAGGCCTAGGCCTCGAGCCCACCAAGTGTGGGCCCCTCGCTCTCCACAGAGTCGGAGCCAGCCCCTGCTGAGCCCAGGCTGTGCTGTGGTCACTCAGTCTTGCCTCTTCCACGCGGAGCAGAGTCGGAACCTCATGTATCCCTGAGTCCGGAGCTCTCTGAGGGCTGGGCTTTGCTCACCCCCAGAGCACCTTTCCATCAGGCGCGTGTGACTTAGAGATGCCGGCAGGCCTGTGGGTTGGTCCGTTCACGCCTGAGTTGCTCACCCTGCCCTGTACTGTGAGGCAGTCGTTGTCTCCATCTGAGCTGCTGTGGGGCCTAGAGGAGAGTGTGTAGGATGGCCGAGAGGAGCCCCTGATGGAGGGGCTAGCCCCGGAGAGGGCCCTGGCGGCCGCTTGGTGGTGACGACAGTCTGCACTGGGCTTCAGAAAGTGACTTAGCGCCAGCAGCTGTCACCTCCTGTGAAAGTCACACGGAGTTTATGTAAAGTCACTGGGAGCAGCAGTGTATTGAAGTGGGTATTTCTCAACTCAGGTTAATTTCTCTCTGCTTTTAACAACTGGATCTCTATAGGCTAAAATGTTATTAACTGGGGCTGGCACTATGGCGTAGCTGGTAAAGCCGCTGCCTGCAGTACCGCCATCCCACATGGGCTCCGGTTTGAGTCCCGGCTGTTCCACTTCCGATCCAGCTCTCTGCTATGGCCTGGGAAAGCAGTAGAAGATGACCCAAGTGCTTGGGCTCCTGCACCCACATGGGATACCTGGAAGAAGCTCCTGGCTCCTGGCTTCGGATCAGCCCAGCTCCGGCCATTGCAGCCATTTGGGAAGTGAACCAGCGTATGGAAGAAAAGCAGTATTTTCTGACTACTTTTTTTTTTTTCTTTTTTTACTGGCAGAGTTAGACAGTGAGAGAGAGAGAGACAGAGAGAAAGGTCTTCCATTGGTTCACCCCCCCAAATGGCCGCTGCGGCTGGTGTGCTGCGCCGATCCGAAGCCAGGAGCCAGGTGCCTCCTCCTGGTCTCCCATGCGGGTGCAGGGCCCAAGCACTTGGCCATCCTCCTGCCTTCCCGGGCTACAGCAGAGAGCTGGACTGGAAGAGGAGCAACCGGGACAGAATCCGGCGCCCATATGGGATGCTGGCACTACAGGCAGAAGATTAGCCTAGTGAGCTGCGGCGCTGGCTACTTTTTTTTTTTTTTTAATTTTAAAGATTTATTTATTTGAAAGGCAGAGTTAGAAAGAAGGAGAAACAGAGAGAGAGAGATCCTCCATCCGCTGGTTCACTCCCTAAATGGCTGCAAGCTAGGAGCTTCTTCCATGTCTCCCACGTGGGTGCAGGGGCCTCAAGATTTGGATCATCTTCGACAGCTTTCTTAGGCACATTAGCAGGGAGCTGGACGGGAAGTTGAGCAGCTGCCAACCAGTGCAGTCTGCAGCTTCAACTGATGCGCCACAGCGCCGGCCCCTCTAACTGCTTTCTATTGAGTAATTTATTAAGTGAGCTAATAGGTTCAGAGGACCTCAGTGTGTCATCTGAGCTCTGCCTCCATGCACTTGAGTAGTTCATCCGGAGTTGAAATTGGTGTTTCAGTCCCATCCACTAAGCAGTCTCAGACCCTGGGCCAGTCCCTAGCTTCATGGGCCTATGTGCTTCTTCTTTTGTGAAACAAAAGGGTGTCATTAAGTGATCTTTAGAGATTAAAAAGATCATTTCTTTATCTTTTTCAGTATCTATATGCAATGTAGCTGTTTTGATAAATTAGTGCAACCTTTTCCCCCTAATACTTACCTAAATTGTTTCTGATTGCCATTGAAGATCCTTTCTGGTGTTTGGCTCTGTGGCGAGGAGCAGCTGTTGCTGTCTTCTTAACTTTACTTAGACTTGAACATAACTGTAGTTCCTGAGTAAGCTTTCTTCTCCCAAGAGCTATCTTCACCCCTTCGTCACTTCTCCGTAGCCTCCGGCCTCCTGGCCAGATGCAGAGCTGGGGAGGGCGTGCTGTTCTTGTCGGACTGCTCCCGTGTCCTGGCATCTGCCTGTTGCACTCCCCTACCTCTTCCTCACAGGACACCCCCACCGTGGGATTGATCACGTGCCTGCTTCCAGCATATGGCTGCTTTTAAAAGTCACGTGTGCATGTCTGGTGAAAAGAATTCCAAAAACCAGAAAAATGCAAGCCCCTCATAGACAGCCTTAAATGCATATTTCTTTCGTACAGGCATCCACTGTTACCAGTTTCTTGTATGTACTCCTGGATTTAGTCTATGAACTATACTCCTACCTCCTGTTCTGTTTTTTAATCATAAAAAATGGGGTATTCTGTTCACTGTTATGCACTTTGCTCTCACTTTGTGCCTCTAACCTGGTCATTTGCAGACAGCAGAGGGCGCTGTTTGCCCAGAGTGGCCTGTGCAGAAACCCTGGTGTGGATGTCGTCTTCATAGACAGCTGTGTCTATTATGTGGAGGCACTACAGCTTCTCTGGGATGGGTATTTATGTTGTTATCAGTCACAAGTTTGTTTTAGTTTCAAAAGAAAGACTGTCCTGATTCTTAAAAGTGCAGGGTGTTGGTGACTTGTTTTTGTTGGTGATGCTTGGTGCTGGCAGTTTCTCCACCGCCGTGGCGTGCATGCGTCAGCAGCTGTGCTCCATCTGCCCACAGGCCCGGTGTCGTCGCGGGGAAGCAGAGACAGCCGTGGAGACGCCAGCCTGAGCCACGCGCTGCAGACACAGTGCTGGATTTCTTCTCCCAGTGCCTGGACGGGCCAGCAGCACAGAGCCTACAGCTTCTTCACCAAATGTACGTAGAATGGCCACGATCTTCCCGCTTCAGGAAGCAGGAAAAGAAAAGGTGTTTTTGTCTCTGAGTTTTTCTTCTTCTTTCATAAATGAACTAGTATTTTAGTGATTAGTTTATGATGAACCATTAAAGATATTGCTAGAAATAAGCCACATGCTACCAGTTGCACTTGAAGAACACTGGTTTACTTTGATCCGCTCACTGGGCACCTTAGCGTGGCCCAGATCCCCTGCTGTTTTAGATTCACACCCAGAATGTACCCATGCGCTGGTTGGTTGTGCCTTAGTTGAGCTGGCCTTGAAATTTGGATTGAATTCACAATTCAGCATTAGGGAGATGAAAAGAAATTAGGGTTATAGAGATAGTTCATGATCATTTCAGATTATTCAGTAAATATAGAAAAAAATGAAAACAATCCCCTTTATTCCTACAGGTGAAATACCGGGTTTGCTCTTTTTCTTACGCAGCAGTGTCCTGTGTATTTCTCCGTGGCCTTCTAAGCAGTACTTAGGCAGTGCCACGGTCCATACATAATATAAAAGACAAAAAGTACATACAAATATGAACCAGTAGACCCCTAAGTACTCATTTAAAAAAAAAAAAAGATTTATTTATTTGAGATGTAGAGTTACAGAGAGAGGGAGATACAGAGAAAGGTCTTTCATCTGCTTGCTCATTCCCCAAATGGCCGCAAAGGTTGGAGCTGGGTTGATCCAAAGCCAGGAGCAAGGAGCTTCTTCTGGGTCTCCTACATGGTGCAGGGGCCCAAGTACTTGGGCTATCCTCCGCTGCTTTTCAAGGCCATAGCAGAGGGCTGGATCAGAAGTGGAGCAGCTGGGACTCAAACCAGCACCCATATGGGATGGTGGCACTGTAGGTGGCAGCTTTACCCATTACGCTACAGTGTTGGCCCCCTAAATACTCATTTCTACCCAGATACTGGGTAGACTTTGACTAGAGTTCAAGGTGAATTGAATGTCTTGTGTTGAAGTAAACATAATTCAAGCATTTACAGAATATAGCAAACGGTCTAAATCCTTAAGATATCTGGGATCAGACTAAAATGTTGCCTTGCATGTGGACTTTGAAAGCTGTATTTAGGAAGGTTAGTTACTGATTATCTCAATGGGGGCAAAGAGGACAGGGAAGAGACCTGCATCAGATGATAAAATGCCAGGAAAACAAATCTACTGGTAAGAGAGTAGGATTTAGTTGTTGGTCGTCTCTTGTGGGGGAAAGTAATGGGATTTTCTGCCCCGGCGTTCCAAGTGTAACCGTGCGGTACATGCAGACATTGATTCAGTCTTGCTTTCATTCCCTCAGCGATGTGGGGAAGCTGGCCTCTCTGGCTTTGTCGTTCAACAGAAGATCATAGACCATTGCTCAAAAACTATAGCATTTGTAAAAGGCCTGCTTCATTACAGTGACAGCAGACGAGCTATGGAAAGGTGCTTTAGCAGAGACTGGCGCTGGAGCAAGAAAAGGAAGAGGCAAAAGAACAAAGAGAAAGAGAAGAAAGGATTTGAACAGGGGTCAGATCATTGGTGAAGGTAAAGCTATTTATAAGAAGTTACAGTGCTTTTGAAAATCTTCCCCCCTAACTTCCTTTTTAGGGATGTTTTACAAACTAGAAGCATCAAAACATTTCTCATGGAGAACTTTAGAGTCTGGCTGGATGACTTACTCATTGCCTTGGGGATTCTGGGGAGGAAAATCCCATAGAAAGGGATTCATCCAGTTATTCAGTGAATTTTAAGTGTCCCTGTGTGGAATTTCTTTTGTCAATTGCTGTCTTCCAAGAGTTTAGAATTCATGCTGGAAGATGAAATAAATGGAGAGTTGGCAAATTTTCTCTGCAAAGGAAAGATAGTAAATATTTCAGCTTTGTGAGTCTAATGATCTCTTTTGCTACTATTCATCCTTGCTGTGACAGCACAAAGACAGCCGTAGCCAAAACACAGCAGTTTCCAATAAAACTTCATTTATAAAAACAAGTGGCCTGGAGGCCTTGGTTTGCCAGCCCCTACAACACGACTGTTTATACGTGTGCTTTCTGAGGAATACACATCATGTTGTGTACTTGATCTGCTCCATGTTGTGCTGTGGTTGTTGACACGTCATCCTCCGCGGTAGCAGTCTTCCCGGAACAAAGCACCTTGTACTGAACTTCCTAGCGTTGGTGTCTACACGGATGTTTATGAATTACCTGCATCTTTTGAGTTATAAAAACCATGTGGGTATACTTTATCTGAAGAAAATGCAAAGATTACAGAGAAGCCTAAAATCCCCTCAATTCCTTTCTGTCTCCCCCAATCCCATTCTCCTGAGGAACCCCTGGCCTTTTTTGGTTTTTCCATCAGTATTTATAATGCTTTTATATGCATTAAATACACCAAAAGAAATAGGACTTTCCCCCTTTTCTAAAAATCATAAATTGTATCATATGGTATATGCTGGCTTGCAGTTTACTTTTTTTGCTCAGGATCAGATCTTGGAAATTACTTCGCAGCTCTCTAGAGCTTTCTTGTTCTTTTGATTTTGTACACAAAGTTCATTCCTCATTGTTCATGTAACCATTCCCCTTTCCATGGAGAATTAGAGTGCTTGCATTTTTGGCCTTTATAATAATGTTTCCATGGACTTCCTGTCGGCACACAGGGGCCTTGTACTTACCTGTGAGTGTTTCTCTAGGTAATGCTGTGAAGTGGAGTTACTAGATTGTGTGGTTGGTGCATTTAACATTATTTTAGATAGTGCCGAATGACCTGGCATCAAATTAGCTTGAGCTTGAGCTCACCAGCCGTGTTTTGTTGTCTATGTATGATATTGCCTGGCATTTTAACATGTAAAAAAATGCCTTTAGAAATTCTTACTTATGTATGTTGTTAAACCCTTAGGACGTTCTGGTTTCCTGTGGCCTGGTCTGAATGTGCCTCTTATGAAAAATGGAGCAGTGCAGACCATTACCCAGAGAAGCAAGGAAGAGCAGGCGAAGGTGGAGGCCGACATGATCCAGCAGAGAGAAGAGTGGGACCGGAAGAGGAAGACGAAGGTTAAACGGGAGCGAGGATGGAGCGGCAACACGTGGGGAGGCGTCAGTCTTGGGCCCCCTGACCCTGGTCCCAACGGAGGTAGCAGAGTTCTGGTTTCGCTTGCCTTTGTGACAGAGTACTTGTGGTTCAGAATTCCCTTGAAATGATCTTATTTGCTTCTCTGTTTAAATTACCTTTTTCCAAAAGATGATCTGTGCATCTTTGAGATAATTTACCACAGTATTATCTCCGTGGCACCTTATGGAATGCTAGAGGCTCATGACCGAGTAGTCTCCCCAAAGGTTGGCAGACACTGGGTTCCCAAAGTCTTTATCATGTGGCTTCTCGGAGCCTTACATGTGGTAACGCACATTACGGGTCTGGAGGAGCTGCCTGAGGATGCAGCTTTCCCAACACAGTTGGCTGCAGGGGTCTCTCTGGACTCTCAGGGCTTGCGAATGCTGCCTGCAGTAACAAAAGCCAACAAACCTGATAGCTCTCGTTAAGCCTCATAAAAGTGCATGTGAAACCAAGAGTGGTGATCTTTAAGCCAAATAAAAGTTTTCCTCCTTTTTGAGTGTGTTAAAAAGTAAAGGTCATCTGGAAAGCCCATTCTTACGAATGAGTAGAAGAAGGGACAGCAGTTTGGCTTCCAGAGGAAGGGAGAGGTGGAGACAACAAGATGCAGGTGAGCAGGTCCAGCCTGGCAGAGGGCGAGGCCGCCCGGGCCTAGGAGCAGAGTTAGCAGAGGCAGGGTGCAGGTTCCTGCGAGCCTGTGTCTGCAGGAAACAGGTGGCTGTCGTGTGGTGCCTGGTGGAGAAGCTGGAGTCACCGCTGTGAGAGAGAGGGCATTGGTGACGTTGGCCCCTAGAAAGTTCTGTGGTGTGGAGGTGAGGGAGCTGGCAGGCTTCAGAATTACACAGAGGGGAAGGAGCTGGGCAGAGCTTAGAGCAAAAACTGACCCTGGGTGAATCCTTGTTGACGCTGACTGATGGGTACAGAAACTTTGATTCTGTTGTCCTATTTTTGTACAATTGAGATTGTGATAAAAAGCTTTAAAAAATAAAAGAAAATGAAATAGCTGCTGTGGTGAGCGGAGAGAGACCCAGTAAAAGAACAGAAAAGCCAGCAGACAGTGGGGAGGCCCCGGTGGAACTGGACACCATGAATTTGTGTGGCCCAAGTGTGTGCTGTGTTTCACTTCTTCAGCTGCCCCCAGCAGCCAAGCGTGGCCAGAGAGCTGCTTGGATTCCAGGCTGGATAGTGCAGTGGCGGGAGGGAGGAGGAAGCTGAGGAGACTGGCAGGCTTTGGTGGGACCGTAGGACTCTGGTGCCTTGGCTGAGTGTGAGAGGCTATGAGGACCCCCAGGGACCAGAGGGAAAACAGTGGCCAGGGACTGTCGCCTCGGCAGCCCAAGAGAGCGAGCGCTCGGGTGGCAGGCAGGTCCGGCACGGCTGGCAGTAGCTGAGCTTATGAATTTACTGGCAGAGCAGTCTCAGTAATCATGGGGTCCAGGGTGTGGCGTTGAGAGTGGCACCCAGAGATCTGAGCCCCTCACTTGGAGGTCTGTGACGTCACGTGTATTGGAAAATGCCTTCATTTGTTGGTGATGCGGATACCTTTATCTGTGTGCTTGTTTCTTCTCTCCCTGCAGAAACGTATGAAGATTTTGATACCCGGGTACTGGAGGTAGGCATGCTGAATTAAATAGCTGCTTAAGCCTTTGGAGAGGCAGGGGTGGGGTTGAGGGGTAGGGCAGTATCTCTGGGGACAGGCCTTTGATGCATAACTATTTCCGAGGCCCAGAGCCGATTTCTATAAGGGAATAATGAAACTAATTTTAGTTATTGATATTGACTGTTATAACTGCTGCCCTTTTTAAAATTAAACTTTTTTTAAAGACCTGTATATTTTATTTGAAAGGCAGAATGACAGGGAGGGAGGGATGGAAAGAGAGAGAAGGACCAAGACCCATCTACCTACCTTCTGTCCACTGGGTCACTCCCCAGATGGCTGCAGTGAACAAGTCTGGTCTAGGCTGAAGCCAGGAGCCTGGAACGCCATCTGGGTTTCCCATGTGGGTGGCAGGGGCCCACGCACTCGGGCCATCTTCTGCTTTCCCAGGCACATTAGCAGGGAGCTGGATGGGAAGCAGAGCAGCCAGGACTCCAGTGTGGGATACTGGCATTGCAGGCTGCAGCTTAACCCCACTGCACCACAGTGCTGGCCCCCACTGCTGCCTTTTCCAGCGGAACTGCCAACTTGAGGTCTGATGGCAAGGTGACCCCAGTGTAAGGCGCATAGCAAATTTGGAGATTATGGTTAAACTTCTTTGTTCCCAAAGCTCAAGTAGCATTAGCAATCTGTGAATTGTAAGCTAAATGTATTTAGGGAGCAGAGATTGGGAAGAGTAGGAGCAGCGGTAGGAAGCTCAGTGTTATGGTGACTGTTCAGTTCCTGATGGGGCAGGGCTCGCGGGCTGCTTGCAGACCCTCAAAACTGGCTCCCTGTCTTCAGTCTTTTTAGGGCATTTCCTAAAACAGTCAACTTCCTCTTGAGCTGGTGCTGCTTAAACTGTTAAATGCCTGTGGAATATTGAATTTGTGATATCAGGCCTTGCTTGATTCAGTATCATTGCATTATAGAATTTAAAGTATGTGTCCTTTACATCATTGGTATCCTAGCTTATAGGTTTTGGAAGTTAATCCCTTTGAAGAATTCTTACACATGTGAGTGATTTCCTGTGCGATTATCCACGGGAGTGGACTCAAGCTCCCTGTTCCCTTAACCCCATTTTATGGGAGAGGGGCCGCTGAGAACCAGAGAGCTGGCTGCTGCGTGAGCTGTGCTACTAGCAGCCTCATAGCTCCTGCCTTACAACAGCCAGGAAGCTCGGATTTTCTTCTCGTTCATACAGAGCGGATACTTGAGATTTTCTGTTCTCAGTTGAGCCTCCTTAACAGAGGTACAATTCTGTATAATTATTTCTATAGACTGTATTTCATCTTTTCCAGGATGCCCAGTTTTTCATAATTTTCACATCTCTGATACTGGAACATGTCTTTTCAGTAATAAATGGTGTCAGAGTTCAGTCAGCACCTGTTTTCTTCCTTGAGGTACCTTCATAAAGATAACATATATTGAGTTGTATAGTTCCACATTCCTTGTGAGGTTATCTCAGTTGAATCTTCTAATAACTCTGTGAAATAGGAAGAGAAAGTCTTTTTCACATTATTGCTGAAGAAGCAGTCTAGGGGAGGCTTCCTTTGGACCAAGTTTATTGTTTGTACTCACGGAATTGGAGGGTAATTGCCAAGTCGCTCTGTGTGTGTGTGTGTGTGTGTATGTGTATGTGTGCGAGAGAGAGAGAATAAGCTAGGTCCCTCCAGTTGCCTCCGTCAGAGCTTTATGAAGGTGTGATGGTGGAGAGACATTTTGTCTTTTAGGTAAGGAACGTTTTTAATATGACGGCAAAGGAAGGAAGGAGGAAGTCCGTCCGGGTGCTGGTCGCTGTGGGGAATGGAAAGGGGGCTGCAGGTGAGGGGTGTGATGGTACATGGGCTGTGGGGGTGCTGGGGCAGGGAGGACAAGGACACGTAGCCCTGGGGAGCCCCTGAGTTCCTGCTGCTGCCCGGACTTTTTCTTCTGATTAAACCTTTTTGTGGTTTAACCTATGGTAAGCTGTGGAATCCCTTAGAAAGGACAAAAATCCTCCTACATTCACTTGGAACAGGCAGGCAGAGAGGGCTCCCATCCACCGCTTTGCTCCCTGTGCCTGCAGCAGCTGGGGCTAGAGCCCAGAACAGTCCACGTCTCCCATGTGAGTGACAGGAACCCAGTCGCTTGAGCCGTCACCTGCTCCTCCATGGTCTGCTTCATCAGGAAGCTGGAGCCGGGAATCAGAGCCAGCAGTCTCCAGTCTAGGACACAGGTGTCTTAACCAGCTTTCTGACCACTCCAGGGATGGGGAACCCCGTTTCTGCCAAGGTCGTCTTGGGTATTTATAACATCATTCACAGGCCATACAGATTTATCAACTTAAAAATTAGCCTGCTATAGATGAACTGAATTTTGAGTCCTGCCTGCGGTTGCCTTGGTAGGGCCAGATGCAATGATTTTGCGGGCTCTATAGGCCTGTGGGCCAGAAGTTCCCCCCCCTGCACTAGGCCAGATGCCTGCCCCAACACTGGATTTTTTAAAAGGCTTGAGACACTATTGTATTATGAACACTAAAGAAAAATTAGGGGATAAAACACTAAGTATTCAATAGATTTGTGGTTAAAAAATAGTATAGCCATTCAGTGTAATAATATTCTATAGCTTTCAAAGAACTGTGGAAAATTACAGTACTGCTTTGTCAGCATATATGCTAAAATGAGAAAATTACTTACAAAATCATGCTAAGTGAATGATGGATAAGAAAGAGATAAAAAAAAAGAGGGAGACCTTTAAGTAAGCCTGCACACAATCCCAGTTTTTAGAAGATGTGTTTCTTTCATTGTGAGAGTCTGGGCACCATTTTACAAGCAAGTATTGTACCTTCATTGGTTTTGGATGGCCATTTTTGGGTAGGAAGTAGATACATGAAGTGCTATGAAACATTGTAGGAGCTGAAACTTGGGCTGTGGTAAAAGGCACATTCCATGCTAACTTGGTCTCCCTTCTCATGCTTTTGCTGTTTGTTTTAAAGGTTTTGCTGTTGGGAAAGCCACTGAACGAATAGATGCTTTCAGAAAAGTAGGTACATTCTTCCTTTGTGGGCACCCAGTGAAAGATCAACAAGCTATGTGCTAGACACCATGGGAATTGCAGAAAAATCGTTATTTGTCCCACAACTTTCCCATGAGGCTTGCTGGCAAAGATTATCTCATAAAAAGCTGTTTCAGAAATACCTGTTTTCTTTTGCATCATTTTTTATCAGATTTGTGATTATGTACTAAATTTATGAGACAGTTGTGTATATTTAATACTGACCGCATGTTCATGCATACTAAGGAATTGTTCATTTTTAGGGTGTGATTGTGATATTGTGGTTACCTTTTTTTTAATAACTTTATCTTTTAGAAGTATATATTAAAATCTTTGCATAGGTGAACTATATTTTATAAAAAGTACTTTGGAATCTGTGAAAATGGCAATTTCGACAAGAGATTTAAGCATCTATTTTCCTTCTTTCTTTCAGGCTAAAAACAAAGCAATTCACTATTTGCATTACATAGAACGATATGAAGACCATACAAGTGAGTGTTAGTCTTTTTTTCTTTTCTTTTCTTTTTTTAAGGATACATTTATTTATTTGAAAGTTAGAGAAAGAGAGGGAGATACAGAGAGAGGTCTTCTATCTGCTGGCTCACTCCCAAGTGGCCACAATAGCCATCTCTGAGCCAGGCCAATAGCTTCATCCAGGTCTCCCGCATGGTTGGCAGGGGTCCAGGAACCTGGGCCATCTCCCACTGCTTTTTCCAGGCCATTGCCGGGGAGCTGGATAGGAAGTGGAGCAGCCAGAACACAAACCTGCACCCACAAGAGCATCACAGGCAGCAGCTTAACCCACTCTGCCACAGTGCCAGTTCCCCGGTCTTGTCTTTTAAAAATCTGCAGGATTTTACTTGCAAAAGTAAATATGTGTGGTAATATATCTCTATGGGTTTGTTTGTGCTTCTGTGTTACTGCATTCTTAGAAATATGTGACAAGCTGGAAACAAACTACAGCTGGGGAGTTACGAAATGAGTGTGTGGGAGCATGCCGTTCTTCCTTGGCTGCTGAGGATAGCATGTGTTGCCATTTTTTATATTTGCACGGGCATCAAAGCCGCACACTTAATCCGTCTTGTGTTTATGTTTTCTCCCTCCAGTATTCCATGACATTTCTTTAAGATTTAAAAGGACACATATCAGGATGAAGAAACAACCCAGAGGTAATGTGAAAGCTCATGACTATTTGTTGAAGATAGAGTAGAGAACTTGTAGCAATTCCATCCTCGCCTCCCGCTTCCGTTTTTGCTCACCTTCACTTAAACTCATCCTGCAAACACTGAAATGAAAAATCCCAAGTTAAGCTTCAGAGGGATGAGGCCCCTGGGGAAGTACGAAATGGTCGTGCTACGCAGGCTCCCGTGGGCACAAGCGCATTTCAGGTGGTTCCAGGTGGGAGGAGCAGAGTGTGATGGGGAACAGCCACCGAGGAGTTCTTCCCAGAGCATTCTTAAATGTTCTGACTTCATAGAACTTTAAAATTCAAATGCCTGATACAAGCCAGCCATTTTGTCACCAGAAAAAGTATTGAGTTGAGCAGTTAGACGTCAGTCTTAGACCTGTGCTTCCCACATGGTATCTGGGAGCCAGCGTGCCCACTGAGCACTTCAGATGTGCTATTGAGAGATATGCATAAGCATCAAATGCACATAAGATTTCAAAGACTTAGTGTGAAAAAAGAACATAAAATGTCTAAGAAATATTATTAGAGTACATTTTTAAAAGTGGACCTGTTAGCTTGATAAAATCTATTATTAAAATTAATTTTACTTGAATTTTTAAAAAATGCATTCATGAGAACAATTTTAAATTGCATACAAACATAGAGCTACCATTTATGGCTCACTACATATATCTGTTGGACAGTGTTCATTTGCACTGATATCTGAATGATTTTTGAACATCTGTAATTTTAATTTAATTGCGGAATTACTTTTTTGATCTATCATCTAATCAGAGTTGCATTTTTCAGGTTTATAGTTTAAAGCATTACTTGTGTATCGGGGTTGAATATCCTGATTTTGAAGCTTGAGCAGACATTTATAGACATTTCCTATATAAATATACAAGTAGACGTTTTCTGAGCCCTGTTCCTGTGCCTTTTGGTGAGGAGATAATAATTCTTCAAAAAGGGTGCCAAGTGGGAGATGCAAAAAATATCGTGTGTCTTGGTAAACACACGATGTCTCGATTGCACTGCTGTACCCTGAGACTCTCCTGAGGGAGCGAGGGAGTGTGACATTCCCAGACGTCCCACCATGGAACGCTTCTTCCGTGGGTACCGGACCATATTCACTTTCTCACACAGCACTGCAGTGTGTCTCCTGTACAAGCCCACACACGTGCCTTTTGTTTAACAAGAGTTCTTCTACGTAGTCCCTGCCTGTATGTTAATGACCATAGGACCAGGGTCACTGTTATATGGCTCTTTGTGTATGTGCCAAACAGCAGCCACCATTCACAAGAGTCTCCCGCCGTCTGGTGCCTGGTATTATACATACTTTCCCTTCACGCTTACAACAGCTTTGCCAAGAAGGGGTTACAGGAGGGCGTCTTGCCCAGGGTCATCCAGTGAGCAGCAGAAGAGAAGAGCTGCCTCCCAGGTCCTTCCAAAATCTGCCCTACACCCCTTTCTTGTGGGTCTCTCTCGGTGTGTGTGCAGCTGTGCACGTCTGCACACGGATGCATGTGTTCACACATGGACTCAGCTCTGTAGGTGGGTAACTGCACACAGAAGAACAAGAAATGCCATTGTTAATTGCCTTTAGCTCCACTCTGAAGTCCCTAGTACTTGATCCGGCATAGCTATGGAGTCTCCAGTTAATTGGCTTTCAAATAGAAGGGACAGGTGTGGGTGAGAATATGGTATATACTTGTATCCATACAAGTGCTTTTACACACAGATACTGAGTGATGAAGAATAATAAATCTGAGCTGGTGCCGCGGCTCAATAGGTTAATCCTCCACCTTGTGGCGCCGGCACACCGGGTTCTAGTCCCGGTCGGGGCGCTGGATTCTGTCCCGGTTGCCCCTCTTCCAGGCCAGCTCCCTGCTGTGGCCAGGGAGTGCAGTGGAGGATGGCCCAAGTGTTTGGGCCCTGCACCCCATGGGAGACCAGGATAAGTACCTGGCTCCTGCCATCGGATCAGCGCGGTGCGCCGGCCATAGCGCACCAGCCACGGTGGCCATTGGAGGGTGAACCAACGGCAAAGGAAGACCTTTCTCTCTGTCTCTCTCTCACTGTCCACTCTGCCTGTCAAAAAAAAAAAAAAAAAAAAAGGAATAATGGATCTGCTGAGTTTCACATCTGGCAAATGAAAGTGTTAGAATCTGAACCTGGGGGGCCGGCGCTGTGGCGTAGCAAGTAAAGCTGCCGTCTGCAGTGCCGGCATCCCATGTGGACACTGGTTCGGGTCCCAGCTGCTCCTCTTCAGTCTGGCTCTCTGCTGTGGCCTGGGAAAGCAGTGGATGATGGCCCGGGTCCTCAGGCCCCTGCACCCGTGTGGGAGACCAGGAAGAAGCTCCTGACTCTTGGCTTCTGATCGGCGCATCTCCGGCCAGTGCGGCCATCTGGGTAGTGAACCGGCAGATGGAGGACCCCTCTCTCTGCCTCTGCCTCTCTGTGACTCTGACTTTCAAGTAAACAAGTAAAAATTAAGAAAAAAAAAAAAAAAGACTGACCCTGGGGCCTCTTGCTCTCCCTCCCTCCCTGCCATGTTGGCAGAGATTGAGCTAGGCTCTGGGGATGCCATAGTTAACCAGCAGTGTCCTGGCCCTCAGGGAGCCTAGCTTTTACAGAGGAGATGCCACTCTGGGGTGGAGAAATGCGAATGAGACCTAGAAGGTGAGAGACAGCCAAAAAGCTGAGGGAAGTCTCAAACACAGAAGGCCAGCAGGAAGAGGGAGGTCCAGGAGGTGGGCAGGATTCAGGAGTGGAGGGTTTAATTCAGAGAACAGTGAGAATGGAGGGCTTCAGTGGGGAGCGGAGTGCTTGGTGTATGTTTTTAAAGCTCTTCTGGAGAGGGAATTCCAGGGGTTCAAGAGCAGGACAGCTGGCTGGAGAAGAGACCATCCACATGGTAGAGTCAGCAAGGAGAGGAGCAGGACAGGCCGCAGCTGGGAGAGAATCCAGGAGAGGGGGTGTTACTGAAACCAGGAGCGTTTTCCGGGGGAGGAGGTGGACATCCCTGAGTACAGACCAGCAGTCAAGGAGGGGAGCACAGGTGTCCCTGCGTCCTCAGGGTTGGGGGCCTGGTGCCAGGGATTTTCAGGATCTGCTATGCCTGGGCACCGCCCTATTTTTTTTTTTTTTTTTTTTTAAGCTAAATGTGTTCAAGAGAATATCTGTATTATCTGTTTGATCCCTATAGCATTCCATTTTAATAAGTTGTCAAAGGTCACGCTCTGGGAAGTGGTGAAGCCAGAAGGTGAACCGGTTTCCCTAACCCAGAGCGGAAGCCACGTGGAAGCCAGTGGTGGGTGTCTCACTTGGTTCTCCCCCTTTTCCAGGGTACGGCCTCCGCTGCCACAGGGCCATCATCACCATCTGCCGGCTCATTGGCATTAAAGACATGTACGCCAAGGTCTCCGGGTCCGTCAACATGCTCAACCTCACCCGGGGCCTCTTCCAGGGGCTCTCCCGCCAGGTAACCTTGGCCCAGGGTCTGAAACAAGTGTGGCTGTGGTATGTGTTGAGACCCCCGTGTTGCCGAGCCCCCTGCAGGACAGGGCCTTCTTTGCCCTCTGAGGTTGCATCCAGTTCGTCTCATCCCCTGAAGAGTTAGTTAATGAAACCGGTACTCTGTGCGTGTTTGAAGCTTCAAAGTTTAATATTTTAAAGTTTTTTAAAAATTTATTTGAAAGGCAGAGAGAGAAAGATCTCCCCTCACTGGTTCACTCCCCAGACGCCTACAACAACCAGAGCCGGGCCAGTCCAGAGCTGGGAGCCAGGGACTCAACCCAGTTCTTCTATGTGGGTGGAAGAGACTTGCTGCCTCCCAGGGTGCACGTGAGCAGGAAGTTGGAATCCGAGTGGAGCAGGGTCTTGAACGCAGACACTCTGATGTGGAATGTGGGCTTCAAACATCTGCCCCACAAAATTCAGTATTTTTTAAAAGCTGCTTGTTCCAGTCTGCTGCTTCACAGAAAGAACACATACTGTGGCAGAGCTCCAGCAGTATGGAAACGTAAAGTAGGAGGAGACAGGCCCTTCCTACTGCAGCCCTTTCAGTCGGGGCGAGGGGAAAGCCTCAGGGCACCTGCACACCAGGAGCGGGACCAGCTCACATCTGAGTCGGTAGCGAGCTGTGAACATTGAATGTGCCACGTTGTCTCCCCTAACGGGGGAGCCCGGGGCTGCTGGCCAGCTTGCCCACCTCAGGCTGGGCCTGGCGCACGGTCAGTCGGTGGCAGAGCGAAGGGCGGTGACTAGCCCCTTCCTGAGCAGCCGTCCCGCCTGCCCTGCTCCTTGAGGCCTTCCCCAGGCTGCCTGATGTGTGCAGAGTGTGATGGCTGCTTTTGAATGAAATGATGCCAGGAAAAATTTTACTACATGTCTCTGTCTAAAATAGAAAAATTCAAGAAAATACTATCTAAAACATCCTTCAAAGCACTTCTAAATTCAAGCTTGTTGTTAGAGTTCTGACTGATGTATACGGCTGTTTAGTTAGTATGTAGTTATGATACAGCAGACGTGTTTTATGTGTTTGCTTTTTGGTTTGCTTTTGGTTGCTGCTTTGAGCCTTTTGATGTAACTACCGTGTATCGTCTCTTCTGAAATGCCCCGGTGCTGTGTGAGTGCTTGGCTTAGTGGTAGAGTTGCTGCCGGGGGTGCCATAGCCCATGTCAGTGCCTGGTTTGCGTTCTGGCTTCTTCACTTCTGATCACGTGTCCTGCATCCTGCTAACGCACATCCTGGGGGGCAGGAGATGATCGTTCAAGTTCTTGGGTGCCTGCCACCACATGGGAGACCCAGATTGAGTTCTGGGCTCCCGGCTTCAGCCTGGCCAAGCCCTAGCTGTTCTGGGTATTTGGGGAGTAAGACAGCAGACAGAAGATCTCTCTTCATCTGTCTCTATGTTTTACTCTCTCTGTCCTTCAAGAAAGATGAATACAATTTTTTTAAAGTTGCATATTTAATATGTCACTCAAAAAAAAACTACCAATTTAAGTGACATGCCTTTGTAAGATTGATTTAAATAAATATTTTGTTTATGAAGTGCTCATCTCTTTTCTGACGTTAAACATATAGTAGAATAGTATAAATTAACCATAAGTTCTGGAAAATTGGAATTGAATATCTCAGGTCCTTTGGTACTGGGAATAGACTGTCTTCTACATATTGCCTGTTTCCAGACGCCTTCTCTCTGCAGTCCCCATGGCCCCTCACCCAGTCACGTCCTGGTGTGTTTTGCCTCACCACTCCTACTCAGGCTCAGCTATTTTGAGCCAGATCTCAGATGTCCTTCTATTTCATGCACAGGTACTTCAGTATGTATTGGTGAAAGATAAAGGTTACAAGGCACCCCCACGGTACTGTTACCATGCCAAAAATAGCTAACAGTAACTCAGTGTCACTGACTGTCTTATCAGTGTTTATGCAAACGATCTACTTATCAGATTTAAAAAACTTTTTTCTACACTATTTGAATCAGGTTGCGGCAAAGGTAAATACATTTAAGCTTTTGCTTTTTTTTAAGTCTCTTGATCTGTGGTTTCCCTTCTTATTTTCCTTGCAATTTTTTAAATTGAAAAAAATCGGGTGGTTTATCCCAGCATGGTGCTGACTGAATGCCTGCAGCGCCCCCAGTGTCTTCTCTCCCTGTTTCTGTGTCAGTTGGTGGGTAGGTCTGAGGGCGTGGTTAAGGTAGATCTAGGGGCTTGGTGACATTCAAGCTCACTTTTGGACATAGCATGGCACGTAGTTAGGAGTTTGGAAGTCGAGAAATCAGAGACCCAGGGCTTCGTCCATCCCAGGAGTGGGATGGGGAGGTAGGGCCGAGGTGATTCCACCCATAGCAGTTACCGTGGTTGAGCCGCAGTGTGTGTCGGCGTCAGCTGCAGTGGTATTGAGATTCCCACAGGCTCTTCTCACCCTTACTGCTCATTCCCCCTGGCTGATTGAAGTTGCAGCTCTTCAGTGTGGATGTACTTCCTAGACCTAACTGGCGTTCTCAATTCCATCTTGCCTAGGAAACCCATCAACAGCTGGCTGATAAGAAGGGTCTGCACGTTGTGGAGTTCCGGGAAGAATGTGGCCCTCTGCCCATTGTGGTCGCCTCCCCACAGGGGGCCTTGAGAAAGGATCCAGAGCCCGAGGATGAGGTTCCAGACATCAAACTGGACTGGCAAGAAGTGAAGGCCGCACAGGGACTGAAGCGCTCTGTGTGGGCGAATTTAAAGCGAGCTGCCACCTAGCCTTCCTCCTGGCCTTGTGTGCCGGCGCCAGTGCAGAGACTCAGCCTCTCACCCCTTGGCGGGGGGGAGGGGATTGCTTTACCTTAACTCCTCTGTTGAAAATAAATGTCTTTGGCTTGTGGTATATGCTAGTCAGTGTGATGGGAACTTTACATGCATATCTCAGTTGAAAACTACTTTAAATGTTCACTTAAACTAGCAAATTAGGGCTAATGGTCTGGCCATTCAATAATAATATATATCATATTATTTGCAATAATAATTATAGCTTGTGTACATATATATATAAGTACCAACTCATCCAAAATGAATAAATATTTGCTGCATTTTACAGAGCTGCTAAGTCGACTACATTGAGGAACTGCCGGACATTCCCCCATGGCTGTGCCATTTTACGTTCCCACTTGGGGTGTGTGCGACTGTCTCCAGCTCCTCGCCTGTGTGTTGCCGTCTCGGTTTGGAGTGCTGCCTCCTTGTGGTTTTGACTTGCATCTCCCTAATGGCTAGTACTGTTAGGCATCTTTAAATTTGCTTTTTGGTAGTTTTGAGAAATTTCTATTTGATCCTTTGCTCATTTTAAAAATTGGGCTATTTGTGTTATTAATGAGTTGCGGTGGTTATTTATATATCCTAGATGCAAGTCCCCTATTCAATATATAGTTTGTAAAAGCCTTCTCCCATTCTGTGGAGTCCACTATTATTCTCCTACATTTTTGCATATTTTTTCATCCCCATCCATAGCCTCCTTTTGCAACAGTGGTGACACACATGTGAGTTCTTCTGAAACAGCCCGCCAGCCCCGGCGGCTCTGCTGATTTTTTTCCCGTCTGTTTTCTGTTGTTGAGGTTCAGTAATTCTGCCGTTTTGTCTTCACGTGCACAGTTTACTCTTTCCATTCTGCTCTGAGCTCCCCTGTTCAGTATTTATGTATCAGCGATGTGTGTTCAGTTCTACGATTTGATGTCTTCTATTTCCTTGCTGAGATTTTCTTTTCTATTATAATCAACAATGAGTAATGGCTTGCTGCAGCCTCTTTCTGAGGGCTCCTTGAAGCCCTTGTACAGCTCAGACACCTGTGTCACCTTCGTGTTGATACCCTTACACGTGTTGTCATGCACAGTGGAACTCCCCTGGCTCTCGGTGTGACAAGTGATTTTGGAATATCTTGGATATTTTCATCATTATGAAATCTAGAAATTATTGGAATCCTGAGCGGTTCTCTAAGTGCCTTGGTTGTAGAACAGTGGTGCTACCTAAGTGGCACGGTGGGTGGGGTCCAGGATCCCTGTTACAGCTGCTCTCCAGACTTCTGCCAGTACTGTTCTGCCTGGAGGTGGCAAAGGAGTCCCGGTGACGCGCCAGGCTGTGGAGGCCACGTCAGGCGGGATTGTGGTGAGAGTTCTTGGCCCGTGACATCATTAGGTGAGGAAGGGGCTCCATTTTTCCTCTCTCATATTTTGCTAGAATAAGACAGTTGTTATCTAAAAGTGTTCTGTCTTGCTAGGTTACCCTCCTCCCTTCCACTCTAACAGGAAGACAATGAACTTGAGAGAACAAAGGACAGTGATCCTTTTAAGAAGGGAAGCAAACTCTTCCCTTCTTAGTACCTGGAGAAGGTCTTGGCTCCGGGACCTGCTGGCCTGCCTGAGCTGACGCGGAGTCGAGAGTCGAGGGCAGTCAAGGCGATGTGGGTTCACGGGAGGACGCCTTAGACGAGAGCTGCAAAGTGCAGAGGGATCTGCAGAGCGTTCCTGCAAGTGCTGTGTTCCACACCAAACTGCACGGCTGTGAGGAAAGTACCCGAGACAGGAAACACGAGAAGGACAGTGTGGAGCTGGAACTAGTCCGTGTTCAGTACAGTGGAAGACGTGACCCAGGTGACAGAGTGCTGAGGAGAGTCACCCTAGTGGTAGAACTGAATGTAGCTGCTGCCCCAAGTCACAGTGCTTAAAAGCATGACCACACTGGAACTTAAGTGTGTCCAAATAACTGTTCTAGAACAATGATCAGTATAGGAATACATGGGGCTGGCACTGTGGTGTAGTGGGCTAAACCTCTGCCTATGGCGCCAGTATCATATGGGCACTGCTGCCCATATGAGTCCTGGCTGCTCCTCTTCTGATCCAGCTCTCTGCTGTGGCCCAGGGAAGCAGTAGAAGATGGCCCAAGAGCTTGTGCCCCTACAGTTTCGTGGGAGACCTGGAAGAAGCTCCTGGTTCCTGGCTTTGGATCAGCGCAGCTCCGGCCATTGCAGCCATTTGGGGAGTGAACAAGTAGATGGAAGACCTCTTTCTCTCTCTCTCCCTCTTTCTGTAACTACCTCTCAAATAAATTAAGGTTTAAAAAAAAAAAAAAAAACAGTACTGGTTCTGACAGTACTGAACCAGTTATATGCCGTGTTTTGTCCTAAACAAATGTGCCTGATAAAGGTTAATTTACAAGTTAGGCACAGGAAGAGATTAACAATAGTAATAAAACAATTGTAACTATAGTGTAATAAAAGCTATTTAAAATTTATCAATTGTGCATTTCTGAAGTGGTTTGTTAAATGTTTTTGGACTTCAGTTGGGAGTGGGTAACTAGGAACGAGAAAGCAAAATGATGGACAAGGAGGTGACTGTTGTACTGAAAGAAGAGAATTGCCAAGTTGGAATTCTTTGCGTGCTGAAAATCACTTTCTAAAGCCAATGCAGAATGGAGGATTTTGCATGGAATCTGCAAGCGTTTAATGAGCAGATTTGGCACTACACAGATTGTTAAATTCTTCAAGCAGAAGAATACAGATGGAAACCCAGACATGCACAGAAGAACGAAGAACACAGGCGACAGTAACTAGGTAGTCACCATTACATGCATAAAGGATTGCTTTTACCCTTTTGCCTAATTTAAATATCCTTAAAATGTAACCGACAGAGTGGGCACTTGGGTCGCGGTTCAGATACCACTTGGAATTCCTGCATCCCATATTGCCTGGGTTCACATTCCAGCTTTTCTTCCAGTTCCAGCTTCCTGCTATTGTGCACCCTGGAGAGAAGCAGCAGGTGATGGCTGAAGTCCTGGGGAGACCTGGATGAAGTTCGGGGCGCCTGGCTTCCGTCTGGCTCAGCCCCAGCTACTGTGGCCATCTGGGAGTGGTCCAGCAGATGAATGTGTTCTCTCTCTGCCTCTCAGGTAGATGGAACACAGTGACAAAAGCAAGGCCCAGCTGTGTGCTGCTTACAAGAGACCCACTGCAACTGTCAAGACGAGTGGTGTCAGATTAAAAGTGGAAGGCTGGAATAATAAACCGTGCTAACAGCAGTTAATAGAATGCAGGAATGTGTGTGAATTTCATACACTGTAGATTTCAGGACAAAGTATTACAAGAGAGAAAGAGGGCCATTGTCTAAGAAAGGCTTAGACAGCAATCCTAAACATTTAGGTGCCTAAAAATAGAGCTGCAAAACTCATGAAGCAAAATTTGGTAGAATTGCAGTGAAAAATATAGATCCATTATCAATCAGGCTTTAATATCCCTCTGTCAATAATTGCTACAGACAGGAAGTTGGTAAGAAGAGGGAAGACTTGAACACCATCCAGCTTGGCCTGAGTGGCGTTACAGGAGCTCCACCACCAATGACATCCTTACTGCTTTCAAAGGCATACAGGATATTTACCAAGATGGACTGTGTTCCGGGCCATGAGACAAGTCTCAGCAAATGTGAAAGGATTCACATCAGAGAAAGCATATTTTCTGATCACACTGGGTTTGAATTAGAATATCTTGGAAAATTCAAGTATTTCGAAACTAAATGACATACTTCTAAGAAACTATGAGAAGCAGTCAAAATTAAAAGGGGAAATTAAAAACTGGCTTGAGTGGAATAGGCTTTAAAAGCTATAGTAACTGGCTGGTGCCGCGGCTCACTAGGCTAATCCTCCGCCTGTGGCACTGGCACACGGGGTTCTAGTCCTGGTTGGGGCGCTGGTTCTGTCCCAGTTGCTCCTCTTCCAGGCCAGCTCTCTGCTGTGGCCCAGGAAGGCAGTGGAGGATGGCTCAAGTGCTTGGGCCCTGCACCCACATGGGAGACCAAAAGGAAGCACCTGGCTCCTGGCTCCTGCTCCTGGCTCCTGGCTCCTGGCTTTGGATCGACGCAGTGCACCTGCCGTAGCGGCCATTTGGGGGGTGAACCAATAGAAGGAAGACCTTTCTCTCTCTCTCTCTCACTGTCTAACTCTGCCAGTAAAAAAAAAAAAAAAAAAAAAAAAAAAGCTATAGTAACTGACCATGTACTGGCAGCAAGATAGATGCATAGCTCATTGGCAGGGAATAGAGTATAGAAATACCATACCTACCAGGAGTGGTCAATTGTTTCAACTAGGATGCCAAGGAAATTTATTGAAGAAAAATTGACAACAATTGATGAGGGTGTCCATCTGCAAAAACAGGCTTTGCTCTGTGTATCATATCATGTACATAAACCATCTGTTTCCTACACTCACGTGTACAACCCCTAACTAAAATCCCCACAAGAAAATTTAGGAGCATATTTATGATCTTGGGTTAGACCAAGATTTTCATTTCAAGTTAAGATTTCTTAGCTACTATCAAAGGCAAGTCCAAAAAATGGTTATAAATTGGACTTTATCAAAATTAAGAATTACTTTACTGGGGACGGTGCTGTAGTGTAGCAGGTAAAACCGCTGCCTGCAGTGCCAGCATTCCATATGGGCACTGGTTCTAGTCCTGGCTGCTCCACTTCCGGTCCAGCTCTCTGCTAATGCATCTGGGAAAGCAGCAGAAGATGGCCCAAGCACTTGGGCCCCTGTACCCACCTGGGAGATCTGGAGGAAGCTCCTGGCTCCTGGCTTCGGATGGGCCCAGCTCCAGCCATTGTGGCCATTTAGCCAGTGAACCAGCAGTTGGAAGATTCTCTCTCTCTCTCTCTCTCTCTCTCTCTTTGTCTCTCTCTCTCTCTGTCTCCCTCCCTCCCTCCATCCCTCTCTGTCTCTCTGCCTCTGCCTCTGTAACTCCGCCTTTCAAATAAATAAATAAATCTTTTTTTTTTTTTAAAGAATTACTTTACTTCAAAAGACTTAAGATAAGTCTTCCCCAATGACTAGAGAGACCAGAACCTGGAGAGA